GGGGGGGGGGGGGCGTCGCGCAGTCTGAAGCGTCTGAAGGAGGGGGAATGTGTGATGTATGGTCGTCTACGGAGGGAGGAGCGGCGGAGCGGGCGGCGGGGGACGATCGATCGGCGACGCCCTCGTCGTGTGCGGCGGTGCTTTACGGACTAGGCCCTCAATACGAACAAACGTGAGCTCCTCAGGCAGGAGCGGCAAAACGTGATCGATCGAAGAGAAATGTGGGAATGCAGCCCGCACGACTTTTTTCTTTTTGTTGCCTGTTCTTTGTATCAGAGGAGAAAAGATGAGCACTTGTTGTGTGTTGTGTTGGCTGTTCTTAGTCCGACAAGGGGAAAGACGAGCACCTGTTGTGCGTTGTGCGGTGTGCGGGGGGGGATGGCACACCATTTGTCGTAATCGGCACACCGATGTAACCGCACACCGATGTAATCGGCACACCAATCGCTCGAGGTAAGGTAAGGTAAGGTAAGGTAAACTTCTCCACACACACGAGGTGGTGGGGCAAGGGGGGGCAACCCTCGCGTCTCCACGTCTAACGACAGGAGCCCCACGGCATTTAAAGTGCAAGGCCCGGTGCGCGTGGGTGAGCGGTGTGTGTGTGTGTGTGTGTGTGTGTGTGTGTGTGTGTGTGTGTGTGTGTGTGTGTGTGTGTGTGTGTGTGTGTGTGTGTCACGTCACTGCATCCTCTGCCGGTTCCTCCCGTCGCCTCTTCTTTGTTCGAATGTATCGGCGCGCCTGTTTCTTGCCGGCTCGAGCGAGGGAGGCATGGTCGCCGCCCGATACACGCACCCGTCTCTCGAGCGGCTAAATCTGGTGGCGCGCATCGTGACTGAGTGGTCTTGCGAGTTCAACTACTTTGTGTCGTGCGCTGCGCATGCAGACATGGCGACGATGCCGCGCGTGCCCGTCTTCAACGTGCTCAGCACCTATGACCGGTTCTTCGGCGGGCAGCGCGGCCGCGATATCATGTCAGCAGATACGTCGACATGGCTGGCCTACTACGATGCCGACTTTGCAGCAGGCGCTGCGAGTGACGCGCCGTTCCGGTCTGTCGCCTCAACCATTTCCAGCGCACAGTCTGGCTACGGCGCTTTCCCGCTCACTGGGAGTTGCGCCTCGCAGATGCGGAGTCGAGGCGTCAAGGGAGCCTCGTTCACCCTTGATGAGCCCTATCACGGCGGCTGGGCGTGGAGCGGCTCGCTGATCCGCGCCTTGCTTGAAGCTTTCGTCGCCGCGCCGGAGAGGGCCTTCCAAGACGGCGCTCTCTTCTCGTACGGCGGCGTGTCGCTGCCAACGGGCTCGCTCTGTCAAATGGCGCTCGAATCGCAGGTCCTCTCCGCGACTGCCTGTCGCGGACTCGCAGGTTTCATAGGGTTGCGTTCGCCCGACGCTTACAATGGCACACGGTGCGGGTGGCGCGGTCAGTCGATACGGCCACATTTTGTCTCTCTGGACTCGACACCTCGGGCGTGTGTTGCGGACCGCGGCGCGCACGCCTCCCTTACGACGTACCTTGACGACCGTCCAACCACGTGGGTTGTGCTTGTGGGCCTCGGGCTGTTCGCCGGGCTCGTCTCGGTGGGGCTTCTCTTGCGCAAGACAACGCGCCCGCGCACGAGCAGCCAGCCGGGCTTTGACTTGGCCGTTGCGACCCCGCCCGCTGCCGCGACCGTGAGCGCCGGGGCAGCAGATGGGACGGCGGCGATTCCGCCCTCGCCAGAGTCGCGAGAGTGCCGTCTTACACGCACTTACTCTCAGCTCCTCAGCCCCATGAGCAGCAATAGGATCAGCAGCAGCTCAAGTAGGGGGTCCACAGCGTCCTAATCTAAAATCTGAGGATTCAGGATTGAGGGCTTGCTTCAGTGAGGCCAAGGTGAGTTTATGGATGTGTGAGAACGGTACGGGACACGAGGAGGCACGCGGACCGACTCGTCGGTGACTCTGCTGCACGCCGTTTCAGATTTTTTCTCAGCGTGAGCGAGACGTGGAAGAGTGCCGCCGTCGGGCAGGACGGGTCGGCCCGGAGCATCGGAGTAGCCGTCGTGGTCGCGGCGAGCAGCGCCGGCCACTCCGGCGCCGCGTCGGCACCGTGGGAGCATGTCCACCGCCACTTCGCGGTCACAGCGCTGTTTGTCGCCCGAAACGCCGCATGTACCTCTGGCGGGCCAAACATCGACTCGCATGTCGATTTTGACTTGACGGCGGCATGGAGGCATCACGTCTCCATGCCGCCGTCAAGTCGGAGCCAGTCTGCGGCGATCACAGCGCTCGCAGGAGGTACATGCGAGCTTTTCAGAGTCAAATTTTTGCGCGAAATCCCACACTGCTGGATTTTGTTTGGGGCGCTGTGGACCCCCTAGCTCAAGTTAACAAAAACACGACCTGTGTGATCTCTCATTAGTTCATCGTTAGACGTCTACACAGGTTCACTCACATACTGCGCATACATGGTTGGTCGCTGAGCGAACTTTCGCTGCGCGAGAGGCACCCTTACCGCCGTAGCACGGGGGCGGCCACGGGCAGACGAATGGTACAACATGCGGCGGCGCGCAGTCCCGCCGGGGCGGTCACGAGAACCGTGCCTCGGGCAGAGGTCTCTGCTGCTGTGTCGGGGCTCAGTGCTTCTTTTTCTCGCCCTCGGGCGGCGCGTCCGCCTTTGGCCAGGCCTTGTCGAAGCCCTTGTCGATGAGGTGCTCGACCTATTTTTCTTTTTTCAGCAGGTCAGCAGGTCAGCAGAGCTCTGCTGACGCCTCGAGCCTCGTCTTCTCCTCTCTCTCTTCTCTCAATCTCCTTCCCTGTCAGTTCAACGCTGGAGCTCCCAACGAGCGGTCAGTGCCCGCGCTAGCTTGGCGGCCTCGCGGCGGCCTCGGCGGCTGGCGGCATCTCGGGTGATCTCTGTGATACTCTCGGGGCAAGCTCGACCGGCTCGTCGATGAACGGCATCATACGGGGAGGTACGGGGAGGTACGGGGAGATATGGGGAGATATGGGGAGTACAAACGCGACCGGCTCATCGATGAACGGCATCAGCGGTATGAACGCAAGGCCGACCAGCGAGGGCAGCCTATAAGACGGCTCCAGGCTAGCGAGTCTGCATTACTCATTCCACGGTAGGCTTGGCCGGCGGCGAGAGCTGGCCAGCGCGCGACCATGCCGCCGGCCATGAACTTTGGGAAGCGCTTCGTCAAGTTGTCTGCAGAGTGGACAACCTGCCGGAGGCGGGGTGTGGGGGCAAGGTAGATGCCTCCACACCCCTCAGGCAGGCAGGAGCTGGCACGGCATCTTCGACGCGCACGGCCCAGTGCACGTGGGTGAGCAGGCTGGCGAGTACAGACCACGCCTCACTGTCTTTTCACAGGGGAGGGGGGGGTGCGTTTCGCTGCACATGCTGACGCCGCCCGGCAAAGCTTGTGCTGTGAATAGCAGGCGTGGTCTGTAGCTCTGGAGTGAGCGATCCTGGTGGATGATGACCGAGGGCACGAGCTGTGAATAGCAGGCGTGGTCTGTAGCTCTGGAGTGAGCGAGCCTGGTGGATGATGACCGAGGGCACGAGCACAGACGCAATCGACTGGAAGGTGAGCGCGTGGACGCCGGTCCTCAGCACCGCCATCGGAGGCGAGCCCTTCGCCTGTGCAGACAGACAAAAGGAACCTCCCCCCCCCCCACCCCCCCGTTTTAGCCTTTAAAACTCCCCTTTTATTGACCACTTCTATGTACGTGTACCCCAAGTTTCTCCGAGACCTCGCGAGCGGGCAGGTATTCACACCTCGGCAGTGTGGTCTGGGCCGGGCAGGGCAGTGTGGGTTTCGCTGGGCCGGGCAGGTAGGGGATCGGGCTGGGCAGTTGTGTGGCAGTGTGCGGGCAGGGCAGTGCGGCAGGGCAGGGCAGGGAACTATACACATTCGAGGTGGCCCTGTCTTTTGGAGGGAAGAGCTAGAATCATCAAGAGGCTTCCGCACGCCTGTGCACAGCTGTCCGCCGTGACGAGGCGCTGTTCACAGCTGCGCCGCCGCCCGGGCGAGCCCCCTTCTTCGCCTTCTCCTCGCAGGTGTTGTACACGACATCGACGCCGACGTAGGCCCACGTGATGCCTGTTCACAGCGCGCCGGCCGTCACCAGACGCCGTTCACAGCACGTGGTGGGCGTGCAGGCGCAGCGTGGATGCCTGTTCATAGCCGCACCCATGACGAGACGCCGTTCACAGCACACGGGGACCGCACGCCAGGCGCGGTGGTTGCCATACGCCAGACGGACAACAGAGGCAGGCACCACTGGCCGCACCGACTCGCCGATGTCTGACGTGTACGCGATCAGCCGCCCCTTGACGAGGAAGAGCTGCGTGATCCGGCGCCTGTTCACCGATGCAAGCGTGGAGAGACGACGCTCACACGCACGCCACGAGCCGGCAGGGTGGCGCGGCGCAGGTAGGCGGCGTAGCGCGCGGGCCCCTCCTCGAGCTCGCGCTTGGTGTCTTCATCGGTGAAGTCCAGCCCGAGCGTGCTCACGATCGCCGCCGCCGCCCTGTCTACAGCCACGGCCGCGTCCGCGACCAGCTGCTTTGCCTTCTCCATCGGGTCACCATCCTCTGGTGGCGTCGCCGGGACCGTTGGAGCGCCAGAGGCGCAGGAGGCGCTGTGGTGGTAGCAGAGCGATGAAGGCACGGCGGCGGCCAGCAGCGGTCGGGAGCGCAGAGCTCGGCGGAGCATTGTAGGGCGGTCGTGGAGCGAATCGGCTGGCTCCTTTTTTTTGACTGCTTCCCTCGCGCCGACCTCGCCGACAAACTACCGCCGCAAAAACAAAGAAAAACGAGGCCGACTAGGTGGGCCCCCACGTGGTATGGGGGCGGGGTCCGGCGGACGCTGGCGTGGACCGCGCAGACGTGTTGTGGGGCGGTGGACTTCATGGCACCATGGAGGGTGGTGCGCTGGCAGCCCGACTCCCTGTCATTCCTACCTTGTGCTGCAGTGAAGACCAGTCTTATTGAATATGTTTGGAGGCGTCGATTTGTGCAAAAATGTGTGTTAGAGAGCGCTAGATGGCAAACTTTTTCTTCGCCTCCGGCGGGGCCGCTCGCCGCGGTAACGGAACTGATCGTGAAAACTCTCGATACGTAGTGGTTTCGTTGCAGAGCATAACTCATAAGAGTCCCTCTGAAGTTTGCGCGCGGAGCACTTGGAGCACTTGGAGTGCAGTCGGTAACCTCACATCCAGGGCCGGTGAGCTGAGAAGCGCATCCAGCGGGCCGGATGATCGGGATCGGGCTACGGGCTAGAGAGCCCTGACCCCTAGCTAGGGGGGGGGCGCGCATTCGCAGGGCGGAGGCGCCTCTTTTTGCTCGCCAGCCCTCCGCTCAACGGCCGTCGCGCCTCGTCGTCCTGCCTTGCCGTCGCTGGGCGACTCGGAGCGCGATCGCCGCTCACGGTCCCAGCCCCGGCCGCGCTGCCCTGGCTCCGCGGCGTCGCGCTCGACCTTCCTCCCTACCAGCTGGTCGGCGCCCCCCGAGAGCCCGCACCTGAGAGCTCGCTGCTCGGGAAGAGCAGACCTTGGCGTGGCAGACGGTGAACGAGCTAGCGTGCGGGGACAGCGGCATTGTGCACGGTGCTAAGTGCATTGCCGTTCTTAACGGAGTCGCTTAGGCGGCTCCGGTGGTGTGCCGGTGATAGTGCTAGCACGCGCCAGTTCGCACCTGTGTCGAGCCTGTAGAGAGCGGGTTCCAAATTCTTTTTTCGTCCCTACCTGCAACCATAGTAGCCATCATGTCGAATGATGGCGACAAGCACGCGGGCCTGCGTCTGCATCTCTCCAGCAGCTGCAGTACCGGCTACAAGTGCGTGTACGAGCACTTTGGCCGCTTCCAGGCGAAGCGCTGGGTGGACGGCAAGGAAGTCTGTCTTGGAACCTTCGCCACGGCGGTGGAGGCGGCGGCTGCCTACGCGCGGGCTGTCGGCGGCTTTCAGCCTCCCCCTCCAACGGTGGTGACCGAGTCGGAGGGTTTGAGGCTTCACCTCTCGACCAGCAACACCACCGGCTACGCGGGCGTGACATTTTATCGGGTCGGCCAGTATCACGCGCGAACCCGTGTGGACGGAAGGAAACGCACCTTGGGGGTTTTTGACTCGCCGGTGGAGGCGGCGGTGGCGTACGCGCGAGCGGTAGGGGACAAGCGGCGGCGCCCCGAGGATGAGGACGGCGACGAGGCGGGTCCTAGATGCTTGACCAGTGAATGCTCATCGTTCGGGGCTTTCGGCCAAATCTCGGGAGGACACGACTATGCTGTTGGCAGCGAAGCTTGCTGTGTCCGTGGCCCTCGCCCCCCCCCCCCCCCCCCATACATGTCTTCCACATCTTTCCGTATCTCCCCGTAGCTCCCCGTATCTCCATGGCCGCCGCATGACCGCCGCC